AAAAGGGAGGTTTCATCACTCGTGCTCACACTAACAATTCAATACAACTGGTCTCAAACCAATCATTAGGCCCTGTGGAAATTCTTCCTTGTGTTAGCTCACAAATAATTATTACTTTTTTTCCATTCCTATTACTCCATCCCAAGCCAGAGCCTCATCTTATTATATATGAATTACTGTGGTACCCTAATTGGTCTGCTTGACTTCATTTTGGCCCATATCTATTCTATCCATCACCCCAAATTCAAAGGGCAATCTTGGTAAAATACTATGCTCATTGTGGTAAGGACCTCTGTAAAGAAACAAAGACAAACAGGAAAAACCAAAACAACCTCTTAATAAATAAAATTCCGAATCCACAATTGGCAATCAAACCCTTGAAAAATAATTGATAAATACTTGAGTGAGAAGTTGAGCTGTAAGATATTTAGGCTTTGGAATCTTAGCTTTAGTAAATTAGTGCAAGCTCCCATAGGGGAAGAATTATATTAGTCAGGCTTATCTAACGTCAAAGTTGGGGACATCAGTGATCATACGTAACTTGGAAGAGTGTCTTCCATTTGGGCATTGTGAGTCCGTTGACCTGCCCAGATAAATGGAACAAGAAAACTTGTGAGTAGACTGTATATTGACATAGCATTCAGCTCAGCTAGAAATCCTAACATATACTCAGCTCTGTTAGTGATTGGGTATAGTAAATTGTAAATGGGACCCGTAGACACTATGGCACGGACATGCATTCACACGGGCACACACACATGCAAACACATGCTCACACAGTTTGATTTCTGTAGATTTTATCTAAATTTTCTACTTTTACTTCATAATATATTTTAAAATAGTAAGGATCTATGATTCAAAATGAGATCCTCAGGTACATTTTTTTGAAAGGAGGAGCCTACCTTGATTGCGGAATTCGAAAGTAGGAAAAAACTGGTAAAAATACCCGTTGGGTATTTGAACGAGATCACAGGACCCAAGGCAAAATTCATTTTGATTCTCTGTGCCAGTTCAGGCATGGTGGAAAAGGCTACAAACCCTGAGAGAACAGGAGACAAGACAATCTTGTAAAAATTAGAAATACTTAAGCAATGTTTCTACTAACAAAAGTGGAGCTCTGCTTAGTCATTTTTGTCCTTCTATTGTGATGATCTTGGGGATGAATTGAGAGATTCTTCTGAGTTATTCTGCAAAGATAAACTGCCTACCATCCTCTCTACTCCCAAATCCCCAATTTTCTATTATTCTATTGATGGACCATTTAACCTGGTTGGGGGAAATGGAGTAGCTGGCGGGTTAAAGGTGAGGGATAAGCTGTGGAAGCAGCCGCTGCTGGTGAACTGTAGGCAGCCTGTCTCCCCAAGTGCGAGGTAAATGCTGGCAATATTATCATTTCACCCCTGACTCTGAGATGCCAGAACGCGTCACAGAGCTTCCAGAAGTAAATTATCAGTTCATAGGAGGTGAATTAGTCAGTTCTTTCTGCACCATCGTCCAGCTATTGCACAGGTTTTTCTGCTCCCAGTGCCTTGTTGGATGTTTACAAACCCTACAGACTCATCTCTGCTTCCAAGAAGGAAAGGGCTTTCCCTGGGTCCGTGGTAGCCCCAGTAAAGACCAGGTGTCTGCATTTCCTCTGCTCTTTCAGCAGCAGCACTGTGCCTATTTATAGCCCTTGTGAGGGTGAGGGTGGAGATGGGTGCCACGCTGGAAAAGTCATGTGGAGTATCTGTATATTTTGGTTTCCGGAGGTGCCTTCTTGGGCCTCCTTTGGAGTGTGTGTGTGTGTGTGTGTGTGTGTGTGTGTGTGTGTGTGCGCGCGCGCACGCACGGAGGTGCCTTCTTGGGCCTCCTTTGGAGTGTGTGTGTGTGTGTGTGTGTGTGTGTGTGTGCGCACGCGCGCGCTCGCAAGTGCTGAAACGTTAAAACTATTTTGTTCAGGAAAAGAGAAACTATAAAAATTCACTGAGCAATTGATGTCGCGCTCGCAAGTGCTGAAACGTTAAAACTATTTTGTTCAGGAAAAGAGAAACTATAAAAATTCACTGAGCAATTGATGTAAACACTCTGAACCAGGCATAATACTTCCCCCAGAGGGTGTTTGGAAATCCGTGGGGGTGAGATTTTTGATGGTCACACTGACTGGGGAGCCCTATTGACATTTGGTGGGCTGGGGCCTGGGTTGCTAAATGTCCTACAAAGAGTGGGTCCTTCTCACAAAACAAATCTTTCTCTGCTAAATTAGTGATCACTGAAAAATTTCATGCCCTAAATGTAACACAGAGCATTGCTGATCAAATTCTCTCGTTTTCTTTGTAGGTCAGATATAAGAGCATGTCTAAATCCTACCTACTTTTCCAGACCCGATTCAAGCCATCCCTCCTCTGTACATTGCTCCCCAGCGCCCACACACCCCACTGGTAAAGCCAGACTGACCTGGTTTAATCTGTGGTCTGCGTCTTATGTGCTAAGAGACCTTGGGAAACTCACTTAATTTCTTTGAATTTTTGTTTCCTGTGCTATGTGGTGAAGACAATACTAGCAGGATTGTTCTGAAGATTAGAGGGAGATATGATGGGGAAGGGGCTGAACAGCGGGCCCTACACATAATGAATGCTGTGTAAGTGTTAGATATTATAGTACAATATTTGCCTATCAGTGGCATTTTTAGCATTTATTAGTTCTTTGCTACTCTTTTAGTACATGCTCTTTGATGCTCACTGCCTGTTTCAAACTTATAAACTATCAATATAAATTACTGATAAATATGCATTTGTTGATGATGATGGTGATGATGAAAATATTGTAAGAATATTTGTTTCTTTCAGTTTTACTCAAACTAAAATATTGCATTTTCAATAACTTATTCTCTTAAAATTGGAAACCTCACTATTTAAAATAATTTTTAAAATTTCTGCTTAGTGCTTACATCTAATTACTATGCCATAAATATTAAATCACACACTAAATAGACAAGCCCAGTTGATTTATTATAGTAAGATTTTTGTTCCAACCCATAAACAAATGTAACCATATCTTTTCAATTTGTTCAGATATAAGTCCCTTTTTATTTTTATTTTTTTAAGTCCCATTTTGGTTGTGAGGAAGGTATGATTGATGTATATTTTCCATTCTTCAGGGCATTATGCTTTATTTTTTCAGCCCACAAGGAATCTAGAAACTTACTCTTTAAAAATCACTTCTTTGGATTTGGGGCACATTTTATTCCTGGGACATTACATCATCATTACAAATGTGCAGCTGTGACCAGAGATTGGAGGAAAGGTTTGTCCTACATACAGTCTCTGGACTGCAGGTTCACAGCAACTTAGAGCACCAGGGCTATTCCCAGCATAGGACAGAGAATTAAGGGCACTATAAATAGCAGTTACTCTATTCCAATTTAAAGATGAACTCCTGTAAGACTCTGGTAACATTGGCTGTTGTAAACATACCTATAGTAGTGCCAAGTGAATGTCCAATGAAATACAACTTCTCCTGACCAGTTTTATTTACAATGAAGTCTATTATTCCTGGGAGATCATATCTGGCCATTTCGTCAAAACTGCAAAATAAAACAGGGGCTTATAAATACATGCAACTATATATTTAAGACTCAGAGTACTTGCTCACTCTTTCTTACACACAGAATTCTATGCTGTGTACTTATTCACTGTGTATTTCATCATTTATCCAATTAAATGTAGGCTATTGTAGATTTTATTTTTGCATTTATATATATTTACTTCCTAATAACAGGAACAATTTCAAGACTTGTGTGTGCTATCTGAAGTTCACTATTCCTCACTATTCCTCCTCTTCATTCCCTCCTCTTGCTTTCCTTTGCCTTCCCTTTCCCCATCTAGTTTGTATGCTTCCACTTGTGACTCCCCCATGGGACCTCAAACTCTTAGGGCCATTTAATTTCCATCTTTGGAAACAGGACTGTTGTAAATCATGATTCTACCATTTTGAGCTGAATAGCTTTCAATAGGTTACTTAAGTGCTTGGAGTCTAAGTTTCCTCATTTGAGAAATGAATAGGATATTGCCCGGTTTATGAGGCTGGGCTGCTGTAGGGGTTGGGTAATATGAAAGTGCTAGTAGGCACTCAATAAGCTATTGCTATATGAGTATTTTGTCCATATAGAGATATATTTAATAAATACCAAAATTCTTAGTACCAGTTCAGCCAGCATTAATAAAGGAGAACAAAAGGCCTACATAATAGTCAAATCAGGTACTTCATGAGCTAGAGGCCTGTTAATTAAAAGAACATCTGAGGAAATATCTAGATTTGTACTCCTGAATATAAAAGAATTATTGTGATGCCTTAAAGTAAGTCCTAAGCTCCCAGTCAAAGACAGGTGACAATACTTCCTGATGCTTGCCCCTACCAGAGAGCTCTAACCCTAACAGTTTATAGAAAATACTTCCATTAAAGGAAAGAGTCAACATAGCAAAAGATTCTTCTTCATTGCCCATTAACAGGGTTTTTAAAACCTCATATAGGAGTTTTCCTGAAAATGGTATTCTGTACAATTTCAACCATAGTTTCTCTAAATAAATGTAGTACTGATACATATCATCTTTGCAAAATTGATTGGCTACCCAGGAGAAGAGAGTTATAAAAATATCACTAGGATGAATATAAGCTTCATGAGGTCAGGGATTTGGTCTGTTCACTGTTTGTGAAGAGTGCATACAGTAGGCACTCAATAAACATTGGTTGAATGAGTGCATGCATTGGTCATAGAAATTTTCCGAGCTGTCCCTTGGTATATACAAGGGTACATCTAAAAGATCATGGAAAAATATAATTAAAAGATAATATGAATCTTTCCATGAACTTTCTGAAGATCCCTTGGATTTATAATGTATAAATTGGACAGAACTGGATGTTAAAATTTATCTTGTTAGAAAAGCACAATTTGCCCATGGGAGAATCAGTGAAAACCAAAGTTTCTTGCTGTTTCTTTGAGATGTTAGTAGAAACTATAAGGAACTATGACTCCAGGTATTGTATATTAGTAATATTGTCCATGCTTATATTTAAAGAAATTGTCTCCAATTTTCCCCTTGACTTTTCTTAGAATCAGTTTACCTAAAAGCCCAGAATTCCTCTTGAGTCTCTGAGAGTGTTTTGTGTTTTCTTGACCAAGTGTTCCCCCGACTGTTTCCCATCCACACATCGTAACCTGCATCTGCTAGAAGGAATCCAAGGCTTCCATTGGCAAAATTCTCAAGCCAGTAGGCACTGTCTGCAAACAGGGCATGCTGCATGTATACAACTGGGCGGGGACCTGGGGGAAGAAGGTGTGGAGAAGGAGAAAGAGAGAAGGAGAAATTTATAATAAATACACTGTTTCGGAAACATTATAGAAACACGCACACACACACAGGATAAAAGCAAAAACAATATTCACTTTCCCCGTCATTAGTGTAGAGCAATATAGGAGAAGGAGAAATTTATAATAAATACACTGTTTCGGAAACATTATAGAAACACGCACACACATGCACACACACACAGGATAAAAGCAAAAACAATATTCACTTTCCCCGTCATTAGTGTAGAGCAATATAATCACATAAGTTCACTTTCTTGAGCACATACTTTGTACCTGATGTTACGCTGACTGATTTATATGTATTAGCTTATTAAATTCTTAAAATAAATCTATAAAGTAGCTGCTATTTTGAGGAGCCTCATTTTACAGATGTGAAAACCAAGCCTTAAGGTAGTTGAGTAACTTTCCCAGGGAGTTACCAGGTAACAGGTTCAAGGCAGGGACTCAACCCCAGTTCGGTTTCATGTCAAAGCTTGTAACTTCTTGTAACTGCTCTGCTTTATGTATTCATATATATATATATATCTCCTGGGTGTGGCTTACAGAGATTTGTTGTGTTGGTTAATATATCTCCTCCAGGGAAGAAGAGGAGGTGAGTGTATATGGGCTTGAATTAATTCCTCACCAAACTTCTACCCAAATCCCCAGCCTCTGTCCACTGAAGAACATTTGAAAACTACAATACTAGAATCAGTTCAACATCCCTCCACCAACTCCCACATTCCTAAGGGAGAGAGTATTCAGGGAGATGAAAAGAGCCAGGGTTGAAGGTTCAGAAAAGGCACTGTAATTTAGTGGTGATGAGCACAGGCTCTGGAGCCAGGCTGCCTGGGTTTAAATTCTGGTTCTGTGACTTTGGGCCTGTTACGTAACCTGTTGTGCCTCAGTATCAGCATCTGTAAAATGCTGACTATTCATAGTACCCACCTCAGAGGGCTGCTGGGAGGTTTAACTGATTTAAAGCATTTAAAACAATACATTTAACACATGGTTTTTAATTCCAAATCTTTCCAACATTCTCTTTCCTGAAGCAAAACCTTTCCTATAAAAATTTTCTCCTTTCATATTTCTCAGCTTTCTCCTCACCCCCAACCTGTGCCTGGTATTGCCAGATTTCACAAAGAATAAAAACAGAGGTAAACAAAGGAGCCAAGATGCTCTGTGAAATTTGCATTTAAGATAAACAGTGAATAACATTTTAGTTTTAGCATATCTTAAAATTAGACTTATCTGAAAAAATCCTTGTTTATCTGACATTCAAATTTAACTGGGTGCCCCTTATTTTAACAGGTAAAACTATCCACATCCCACTCTCATTTTTCACTCTGACACTCTTGAATGACAAGTTTCCTTCTTAGAAGGAGGGAATGTCAAACAACATGATCTTAGCTGCCAATAATGTGGATGGTGGGAGCGGACATGGTATACGTAGTTGCCAACAGATGATTTGCCATTGAGCCTTTGCAGATATTTTCTTATACTTATCTTCCTCTCCTCAGAAATTTTGCAGTTAGATTCCCCTTGTAATGAGAGTAATTCCCCTGCTTTTGCGTGGCTGGTTCCTTATTCTAGAATTCAGGCCTTATTAACACCATGCTCTTTCATTCCATAAACCAACTGTCCCTTAGATCAAAGCATAGGTGAATGTTAAGGTTGTCATTCCTGAAAAAAGTTTCTGACATGCCACTTCTATTTAACTTGCTTTTATATCCTGCAGAGGGGCCCACGGATTTTAGTAGGCAGGAGAGGCTCTTTTGGGGTACCCCGCTGTCAACTTCATACAACCCAGGAAATTTCTTTCCGACAGTGAGGATATCCACTTTCCTAGAACACAGCAATTTTCCACATGAGAAATCAGTAATGAGCTTACAAAACATAGGCTTCACCTTTGCCTTTATACCCTAACAAGCGAGCCCAGCTGTAGTCAGCAAGATCAGTCTTGCCTTTTGTATTTTTAGGTTCTTGCCTGTCTTTGGAGAATTCGAGGGAAATGAGGGAGCCTCACTCTATTTAAAGACTAATCCAATAATTCAAACCCATTTTGATAAACCAGTCACTCTCTTGATGAACAGCCAGCACTAAATCTTTGTCATATTGAGTCGTCCGTCTCAGGAGAGACATATCTTGTACCTGTGCTCCTAGCATGTCTTCGCCCGTAGGGAATTCTGTTGACAAGTAGTATGTACCCATCTTTGGTGGTGACCTCATGCTCTTCACTGGGATAGCCATTGTAGGTGATGATTTCACTCTGCCCAGTGGAAATACAGGCATTAGCTGAACTTATTCTCTAAAGGATATCAAAAGGAACTAGAACAAAGCATCTGGTGAATTGTCTAGAACCTGTGGCCCCAGGTAACTGTAAGATTGATTTACTACATAAAGTCTTGATAAACATAAGTCAAATTTTAGAAAATATTTACTATTGGAAAATATTTTGGGGGGTGGGGAGAATGCTTAGCCATCACCCATTCTTTCTGACAAAGCCATATTCTCAAGTCAATTGTCTTTTGAGACCCCTCTTGATTTAAAGATAATAAAACTATAGACCAGTAGAAGACAGTCATATATATATCATCCAAATGGCTTGATATTCTTAAAATATAAATTCAAAAGATGAGGCGACATATGTATAAAACACAATCTGCTTTTTATTCCCCAAAAGTATTAGTTATTTAGCCAAAGAAGCAGATCTACCTAGCTTGACTCACAGCGATGTTAAAAACTTTCTACATTTTACCTGTTCTCTTATCAGAGATTTTCTGCTATAACAGGACCTTTGATAATCTCATTACCCATTGATGCTGTTTTTTTTGATGTTATTTGGCATTTTTCATGACTTACAGTATTCATCCAGACTTCAGGATTCACTGCATTTTCCAAATCAAAGAATTCACCAGCATTTAAAGTCCCACAAATCAAACAGGTTGTTGTTAAGAACAGCCACATCATAGAAATGCCTGGCATAAAACATTTAATATTCACAAATTAATTTTACTTATCAATGTTGATTAATGAAATGAAAATAGTGCCCTAATGGAAACCTGAATAACACCCTGAGAAAACTGAAAGTACATGGAAGGGAAAAAATAAAGTGAACTAAATTGGGGCACTATTAATCTATTTTTTCATGTAGAAGCTGTCTTAACATAGTTCAGTTCTTAAAATGGAATGAATTTAAACTAGTATGGATTACTTATTTTACCTTTTTTTTTATCAAAATTTTTTGTTTTATTTTAACTAAAGTTTTTCAATTATTTAAAAGTCTTTGTTCACCTCTGAGTTGCCAGAATACCTAAAGACTCAGAGAACAAGTTTCCATACCCTGGCATGGTAAAAAGTGAAGTTACCCCCTGGTCTAGCCCAGCATTTCATGTAGCAAACAGGAACGACACACAAAGGAAGCCTCAACCAAACAAGCTCACGATCACTTTCCAGTGATGTGACTCTTCCTCATTGGGACACCCAAAGGGAAATTGTGCACATCCATGTGCAGTCTCATTTCCTCACGTTGGTTTAAAAGCAGGTCTCTTCAAAGGTGTGCCAACCCCGTAACTTTATTACAGAGTGCTCCTAATATGAGTGCTGCAGTCAAATGGCCTGAATTCGAAGTTCAGCTTCACCACAAACAAGATTTCTGACCTTAGGCAAATTATTTAGTAGCTTTGTCTCTTGATTTCCTTGTTAGTAAAATTAGGATAATAGTGTAACCTACTTCATAGGATTATAGTGAGGATTAAGTAATGTAATGTATATTGCACATTCAGTGCAGTGTAAATTCTTAATACTTTCACTATTTTTCTTATTCTAAGAATAAGCAAGAGAGTAATAGCAGAGAGCTTTTACTGTAACAAATTAATGTCTGATTCAAGATATACAGAGTTTACTTTTGAGGCTAAATAGCTTTCCATACATTTGTTATCTGGTTGAAGATGATTTTATATCTGTAAATGCTATGTCATTTAAAATTTTTTTCAAACTGATAATAGCTCATTATACTGAGTGTTTACCTAATGCTAGGTATTGTCCCAAATAGTTCATATATGTTATTTAAACCTCAGAAAACTTTATAAAGTTGGTATTATTATTATCCTCATTTTATCAATGAAAAAAACAAAGGCTTAGAGAGATTTCAGACCTGCCCAAGCTCAGAGCCAACAGGTGAAAGATCTAGGATGAGCATGCAGCAGCCTCAGTGCACAGTCCCTGCACCTGACCACCACTCCCAGCTGGCCTCCCAGTTGTGATAAATCTCCATCTTACCTAGTTAGGTGAGCTTCACCTGCTCCCGAGGATTACTTATCGATTAGGAGCTTCCGAGCTTTTGCTTTCAACATCAGGCTGAAGAGTGAGACGTGGTTGCAGTGACAGTTAGAAGCTAGAGAGGTGACAAACAGGAAGCTTGTGGAAAGGAGGGACCCTTGGACTGTGACACACAGCAAGGCGTCTCCCGGACACACCAAATGCCATGATACACTTGCGAGGTTGGGAAATAATGGTCTACATGGTGCCAAACAACCAGTTTGACTGAATCCTTCATGTTTCCACTGAGTGTCTGCCACTGTTGGGAGTGTTCAGCAGCATTTCCAAACCAGTGCATCAAACAGGGAAGGAGAATATATTCAGGATTTTAACGGACAAAATCAGAGATAATAGTATCTCCCTTCCCAATCCTACAGCATAACTACCAGAATCAAATGAAGCAACGTATGTGAAAGTACTGGTGTCAGTCTGTAGTGTATAGGGATGTGCATGACTGTAACTCAGTTGAGAAGACAAGGCAATCCTGATTCCTGCCTCTTGAGGCCAGAAGGAGCTCCGAACTAGCAGTGTAACAGAGGAAACCAACTCACACCCCAGGGGGATTTGGCCTGCTGTCAACTTTGGAGCAACCACTGTGGTTACTGACCCACCAACCACTTAACCACTGCCTTAAACAAGGTAGAAATGGAGATCTGAAGAGATAACGACAATTTAGCCCCAAATCCCACAGGAAATACCAGATAATGGAGGGACGTGTGCCTCAATTTTCTACCTCACTTTGTATGCCCATAGAGTCAAAGCATTAACTGAACTCTTTCATCTCTCAGCATGAAGAATAGAGAACACTATGTTGCTACCCAGTTTGATACAGGAGTTTCAGTTCTGTACTTTGAACTCATCCTCAAATCCTTTCAGAAACAAAGGAGTTATTCATATTTGTCCACATCCTAAGATCTCTTCCAGTTGAGTGGGATATTTCACGCCAATTAAGCTAATGTGGAGTACAAGAAAACGCTCAGCTTGTTAGAACAGGGAAAAGTTTTGTACCACTCTATACTCATTCAGTTTTTGATGAATGGCTCAATTGTGGTTTGCTCTGATTGGCAGTACGATGACATTGGTGTGTGGACTTGCCTGAAATCTCTCACGGCTGTTGACTTTAAAAACAATTCGTTCTAAAGAAACTTTAATGAACTCTTCAAAAAGTTCTAGGAAGCACAATGTTATTATTATTATTAATGTTGACTTGCTGCTATGACTTCATGTGGAAATAGCATGAATATAATTCAACTTCTCAGGTCTTTACAGATTGTAAGCTAGCTTAAATCTCAAATGAATTTCTACATTGTCAACTTATACTCCTTCCTCAGCTTTGAAGGTTATTTGAATACTTTGGAGAATTCTTCCATTTTTTGCTTATATAGAAACAAAGCCATATCAAATAAATGAAGCTAACCTTTCCCCTTATGTTTCACCACTCATCTATAAGCTTGTTATTTTAGTAAGTATTCAATGTATTATTGAATATTATATATTATTATACATAATATATTATTATTATAATATGGAAGGTTATTATTATATATTTTAGTATTTATATTAAGATTAATTAAAATGAAATAAATTAAAACTTCTTTCTTTGGCCCCATGGAATACAAACTGGTAGCCCCTACTCTCTAAAAGCTCAAAGATTCCTGCTTTTCCCCCCCCCCCATAAAACCAGGTGCCCTGTACCGGCACGCTGCTGAAGAAACAAAAAAAAACAGATGCTGGTATTAGAGCTGGAAAGGATCTTGGAAAAAAATGTATATAAGGTGCAATCTTTCAGAAGGCTTGAATTATTTCTGATATCTTGGCCCCAAAATCCTATCACAGCATGAACAAATTGTTTACTGGTAGCTGCCCATTCAATTATCAAGATGGCTAAAAACCATGTTTGAACATATATCCTTGCCTTTGGTGTCTATCTGTGAAAGTTATTATAATTTTCCTTCCAATGTTCTAATTCAAAACACATTTGCTATTACAAAGTCTTATCTTTTTGTCTGTTTGATTGCTTCTTTCACCCCAAAGACTGTTTTTTCTTAAAACATGACTTCATGTCAAAGGGAGCATACTTTTTCCTTGAAAACAACTCAAAGTTAAAAACATTAGGCCATAACCAACAAAATAGAAACAAATGAGAATTTTGAAAGAATAAATAATTTCAAACCTCACACTTTTGAGACAAATTTGCTTTGTCAAAAACAGTAAAAGGCAGGCCGGCCCGGTGGTGCACTGCTACAGTGCGCCGCTTGGGAGCGCGCTGGCGCTCCTGCAGAGGGTTCAGATCCCACATACAGACCGGTTCCTGCTCACTGGCTGAGCG